TCCCAATACTGCTCCATAGAAGCAAGGGGAAAACCCTGGACGAAACGATGCTCCAACTCTCTATCATGTTCCGTACCGCAGCTCAACAGTTCGAGAATGGTTTCGACAATTTGGTTGTCAAAGTCAAAGACGATCATGTTGTAGATAAGGATATGCATGTTTATGCTGACAGTTGCCGTACCTTGGTCACTGGACTGATAGAATGGAGTAAGAAGACTGCGAGATATAATCTAAGTCAGTATGAGGATGAGGGTGGAGTCTTTAAGATTCCCCTTTGATCGCTGGTGTCACGTTATGAGACTCATGTTAACTAAGCTTGGTTTTACAAAAGTTTTTATTGTTGTTTATTGTTTGTGCTGCAGGCTCCGTTTGCAGCTCTCTTCTTAATACCACAAAACTTCCTTTTGTCCGAATTTAACTTTCGACTAAGTTTAGTTATGATAGCCGACGCTATAACATAGAAATCACACCAAGCTTCTGCGCTTAATTGGATTGAAGGTAGAGGTAAGAGTATTGTAGCAGAAGCTATTATTCTATATTAAGTTATTTAATTAGTCTTAAAATATATTATTAAAGTAATAATTTAAGCTGCGTTGCCCACTGGGCCTTGTTAGCTTTAACCCTTAAAGGTTGCAATAGGCAACCTACTTGTGTTAGGCTTCTTGTCATGCTTGGTCATCTTATTGTTGTTGTTTGTAGATAGCTGTGGTGGATATCAGCAAGTGCTTGTAGGAGATATGTGTGTGTAGGGGCAGTAACTCACGATTAGTTATAGTCTTAATAGCAGAAGAATAACTTAGATATAAGATTAACTTAAAATATAAGAGAGGGTAAACCTTATAAATATACTATATATATAGGTATTTTAGGTTTTTAGCGTGACTTAGTATAAGTTATAGCTATAAAGTTATAATAATATATAAGGTTTAATTATATAATAGTAGCTAAGGCTATTGCGAGGTAGCCGCGATTAGTAGAGTATAGCGCGGCACTAATTATACTAGTATATCTAATATATTATAATACGTGTATAAATAGTTTACTTTTTTAGTTTTTTATTATTTTTAGCCTAATATAGCCTAATATTATTTTAGATTTTACGCTTATATAATACTAGTATTATATATATAATTTTATTTAATTATAAAGCGAATTAACCAAATATTAATTAAAAAGTAATAATTTAAATTAATAATTTAAAAAATATTATTACCTTAGTAATAATAGGGGTTATTAGCGGATATAATACTTATACTATTAATATTATTATTATTATTTTTATTACTACTAGGTAAAATCTAGTATAAGTTATAAAAAGTATAAATTATATAACTTTTATAAAATAATAAGTAATAATAGTACCTAAAATTATCCTAAATAACTAATAGATTTTAATAATTATATTAATAATTTATTATATATATTAGTTATTATACCCTTCCTTAAAGTTAATATTATAAAAAGAGGTATAATACTAAAGCCTTAAAGCTTTATACTAAAAATACTTAGCGTAATAAGCGTATATTTTATAAAAATAAGCCAAAATACTTAGTATTTAATAAGTATTATTATAATAGTAATTCTTATTAGAAAGGTATTTTTATATATTACCCTAATAAGTAATAACCTAGTTAATACCTATTTAAATCTTAATAGAGCTTTACCTAGGAAGTAGATATTATTATAATTTATATTTAATAGCTTTAAGTAGTTTATACCTAATAAAAGTAAATATTAATTCTTAAATAAGGTTTATTTGGTAGCTTAATAATAAGTATTTTATTTAAAACTAAAAAACTTTTTATACTTAATAATTATAAAAACTAATTATACTTATACTATTAGTTAATTATAATAAAATATCTACTAAAATATATAATATTTTAGACCGGATTTATAGCTATATAATTAAAGAAAATATTAATTTAAAACTATATATTATATTTAATATATTTTATTTAATAAAATAATAATTTAATTAATTAAAAAGCTTAAAATAAGTAAGTATTAAGAGAAATTAATAAAATTATTATTATATATTAAGCCTACCTTAATTATAAGTTTATAACTACTACTTAGTTAAAGAATTTTAAGGCTTTTTTTTTTTTTTTTTTTTTTTTTTTAAAAATTTTTTTATCTCTTAGAAATAGCTATATTATCTTTTTTAATTTTTATTAGCTTTATATAGCTTAATATTAAATAAGTAACTTAACTATAATAAATTATAATAAGAAATTATTTTAGCTATAATCTTAAAATTATATACAGCTAGTAATACTAAGCTTATAATACTATAATATATTATTATAAAAGTAATAATTAATATTAATATTTAGTTAATTTACTTTATAGTTAAATAAAATTATATATATAATACTAGTATTATATAAGCGTAAAATCTAAAATAATATTAGGCTATATTAGGCTAAAAATAGTAAAAGACTAGAAAAGTAAATTATTTTAGCGTAATTAATACCGTGTTATAGCCTATTAATTACAGCTACCTGTTACAAACGTCACTGCATAAGACACAGGACAGGGCCGCACCGACAAGGCAAGGCCTGGTCACAGGAATAAGAGGGAGAGAAGCACGTGACCTATCACGTGATTTAAAGGAGGATTAAAGGCTTAAGGCTTTAAGCTAATAATCTAGGATAAGACTTAAGGAGATTAATAGTTAAGCTAGTTAATTAAGGTTTAAAGGGATTAATAGTTAAGTCAATTAATCCAGGTCTATAATAAAGAGATAAATAGGTACTTAAGGAGGAGGTATTCTTATAATCAAATAATCTAGATCTTTATTAATTAATCTAAGTAATAGTTTTACTATTAAGAGTTATACTCTTAATAGCCTTATTATAATATTACTTAAAAGCTACTTTATAGTATTTAACCTAACTTACTTCCTAAGAAACAGACCTACTGTGCCTTAGAACCTAAGCCACCGTTACACTACCTTATAATAGCCTTAGCTATTATTATATAATTAAACCTTATATATTATTATATAAACTTATTAACTTTATAATTATAACTTATATTAAGTTATATTAAAAACCTAAAATACCTATATATATAATATATTTATATAGTTTATTTTCTCTTATATTTTAAGTTAATTTTATATCTAAGTTATTTGCCTTTTTTACTATTAAAACCTTGCTATAATAATATAATTAATTATAAGTTATTACCCCTATATATATATATTTCTTATAAGTACTTATTAATATTTATTATAGCTATTTATAAATAATAATAATAAGATAATTAAGTATAATAAAAAGCCTAATATAAGTAGATTACTTATTATAACTTTTAAGAGTTAAAGTTAATAAAGCCTAGTAAATAATATAATTATTAATAAATTAAAAGCTTTTTATAATAAAAAAAATACTTATTTTAAGGCTAAAAATTTTAATTTTATAAAAATTAAAAAGATTATAAAAATAATTAAGAATTTAAAAAAAAAAGCTTTTAAAAATATTAAACTAAAATATAATATTAAAAAAGCTATAAAACTAGCTATAAAAAAAGCTAATAAGGCTAGTAAAGCTAAGACTAAAAAGGCTAAAAAAGCTAAAAAGGCTTATAAGGCTAAAGCTGCCAAATAAATTTGTATTAGTAGTTTTACCTCTTCTAGAGGGAAAGTAATAACTTAGTTTATTTTAAAGTTCTAATATTTAAGATATTATCTCTAATATACTTATATATTTATAGCTATTACTACTTATATAAGGCAGGTATAGTTAATTATAACCTAAATACTAAAAGAAATAATTAGAATTTAAAAACTAATTATATTATTTTATATTATTAGGCTAGTTTTAATATAATATATAGTTATAAATAGAATATAAGTAATAAAAACTAAGATATTAATAAGAGCTATAAGTTTAAGAAATAAAAGCTTAGCTTAAAAGTTAATAAGAATAGTATATATAAAAGAAAAGCTTTAAGCTATAAAAATTAACTAGAAAATAAGAAAAAATATCTAAAAAAGGTTATTAAGAAGTTAAATAGTCTTAATAGGGCAGTTAAAGTAATAACTAATAATAGTAAAAGTTACTCTAGGTATTATTATAATAAATATACTAGTAATACTAATAATAAGTTAAATATTATAAATAGTATTATATATACTAGTAATTTATTAAATTTAGTCTAAAATTATTACTATTATAAGAAGATAAAATATACCTGATATAATAAGTAGTATTATACCAGCCCTAATATTATTCTTATAATTATAGTAGTAATTAACTATTTATATAATATTCTAGTCTAGTAAGAGAGGTAAAAGAAAGCTAGATACTACTAATATAATAATAAATAAAAGTATATATAAATTTTTATTAATAATATAAGTATACTAAATTTTTTTATTTAATATTATTTAAACTGGTTTTATTGGCTATAAAGTGGCGGCAAATATAAAGTAGCACTCTTTCCCTTATTGTGTTGGCAGTTAGGCGTCAAATAGATTGGGAAAAGTACTGGTCATTTAATTCCAACAAAATTCTAGTGTACATGATATCATGTTGAGTGCCCAAACCGAGACTTCTTCTGATGTTTCTTCTGCTGTTACACAGGTAGGCATCTTTCCCGAGAAATGTCTCCCACCGGAAGATGAATACGAATCTCGTGAGGTGTCACAGCACCATCACGACTTGTCCATGATATTCACGTGAGCACAAACTATTAGCGCACCATAAAGCTGTAGTCTAGATAGCTTTCTCCTCCCTCCTCCTTAAGGCACAAACTACGTTACTACTAGCACCTTAGATTCGCCCCGTGATATTAGGGACACATAAGATACGAGGAAACTAAGAAATTCAATTCTCTTATAAATAGTAGACCAGGGCTCAGATTCAATAGTCTTTGCTGTACAGCAGAGACCAGGATCAGCGTCCGCAAAGGAGTACTACTTGTGCCACGCCTCACGCTTAGCCAAGAAAGCCGAGGCCCCAAACCGAACAAGCAGCCAACGCTTGCTGTGTTCAGAAGGTAGGGACATCGTCGTCAATAGGTACTAGATCGCCCTTGCCCTTAAAGTGCTGCAGAATCTGCGCCTGCTCCGAAAGCAAATATCGATCAGTGTGTATGCCAAGCTTTGCAAGCCCCCTCCACCTATCAAAATCCACAGCGTCCCTCTTGTCGCCGTGCGCATAATGTGGCATTTCCCAGTGACCTTTTGAAAACGCGATGAACGTTGTGATACTTTTGTTGGTGATATCATAGACAAGTGAGCAGATGGTTCCAGTCTCCTCGAGCCAGTTGCACTGCCAGAGTTCCCCAGGTCGAATACATTGGTATGTGGCTGTTTGGTAATTGATTCTGCCTGCCATCGGACCACCGTGTATGGCGTAGACGATACGGTTTTCGGAGAAGAACCACATTTCATAGCGCCATTTCTCTGGTTTCCCGTCAATTGCATGGGTGTCGTAATCATACACAAGATGGACGTCCCGAACGTCAGTTTCAAATGAGGGATGGAATTTGGTAGCACTGAGGAAGTGAGGTAGAGGAGTCAGTGATGACATAGTTGGATACGGACCACGGAACGGACGGGGAGGGGGAGAAAGGAGGGTAGAGGAACTCGGTTTATTCTTTGAATTGAGATTGGTAAGGAATCGTTGATCGCTTTTATGACCAAATTCAGCATCGCAACTGTAATCATCCCGATTACCAAGACCCCTCCCGCCGCCAATTTTTTTCATCTGAACCTTTTAGCGCGTGGTGGTACTTAGGACACACCCCTACTGTGGAGCCGCTTTTTCTGTCTTGATGCTGTTGTCGGCATGTACAGTACATAATGGTGATGGTGAGTATAAGATCGAGACTCATTCCTTCAATTATCTTGCCAAGGTGCCCGTGGAGCAGCACTGCCATATTACTTGCACGCATCAGCCGTGTCCCCCGCAACTCCTCAAAATGCCGAAATACGTCCTTACCCGGGCTGGAGGAAATCTGGGTGGCGCTGCAGCCTCATACGCACTCGATATTGCCAAGCCTGACGATGAGATCGTCCTTACAACCTCCGATGTAGACGGTATCTCGGCTGTGACACTGAAGGACTGGATCAGGAAGGGCGCAAGAGTCTGTTTTGCATCATATGATGATGCCGAGAGTCTGAGGTCAGTTTTCGTCGGTGCAGAAGCCGTGACTCTTATTTCAACCTGGCTCCTTGGGGAAGGCCGACGTTGCCAGGCTAGGACTGTTATCGATGCGGCAAAGCAATGCGGGGTGAAGCGTATATGCTATACCTCATTTGTTGGCGCTGGTATGCAGGCTGAGAGAGAAGAGGATGTTCCGTTTTTACCCCGAGACCACCGCGTCATCGAAGCGTACATCTACGAATCAGGCTTGGAGTACAATATTCAGCGCAACTACCTCTACATCGACAACATCCCCGTACTTTTCGGGCCGTCTTGGAAAATCTGCAATGACAGATGGCTCTCAAATAGTCATGGGAAGGCCGGTGCATATGTTGCGCGAGAGGATTGTGGTCGGGTCCTAGCCTCCCTGCTCCTTGGCAGGGGCCAGCCCAATACGGTGTATGACGTGACTGGTCCAGAGGCGATTACCGATGAAAGAATATTCGAGTGGGTCTGCAGTCAGTCTGGTTACCAAGGGCAGTTTGTGAGCATGACCGATGAGGGATTGAAGAAATTCTGGCTAGATCGTGGATTACCATCAGTCAATTCTGGAAACTCCTCAAATTTGCCGATGAAGTTATGTATTGAGGATCTTTTGTGTTGCGGCGAAATGGTTGCCAAGGGCTATATGCGCAATACCAGCAATGCTGTTGAGGAACTGACTGGACAACCGGCAATTGCATTCCAGGTTGCTCTGCTCAAGTATAGAGGAATCTTTCCACAGCCTTAGAATGCCGCATCCTAGAGTACTGTCAGAAATACGCTGGCCCTATTATGGAGATAGAAAAAACTTGTGATGCGTTCTCGAGCCTTGATATTTTGTAGTCAAAAGGTTAAACATGGAAAATTGTCGACAAACTCTACTCGTGCCACGCCACCACTTTTTCGGGTGGCGACTTCGCTGCACGCTTCTGTACCAAAAACGAGGGGGGCGTGGCACTGGTGATTCTCGCCACCAATCATATGTCAGCACCGTAACGTGCTCCACCAGAGGCTGCCACAAAACCTCGGCCTTCTCGCCTAAACCTTGCCTCCAGCGATGAACTCATCAGATCAATTACGTTGATGGAAAAGAATTCGTTTGATCGGGCCATCTGTTCATTTGTGTGTCCAGCACCCACCTTAGTGGGCGAGACTTGTTTATCTCATACCGGGCTATCCATGCCACGCTCCGGGATGGGCGAATGCTGACTTGACCTTAGCACATCCGCTTGCCTCCGGGCCTTCCGACACTGCTTGGAAGACTTATTTATGCCACTTACGACAAGGCAACGACAGGAATAGATGGAGACATTGTTTTCAGTATAGAACTCACTTGGGTTTTTTTACAGTCGAAAACCTAGCCAGTCAGCCCATCCAGCAGCACTGAGCAAGATTCTCAATTACAACAATTCCCACGGACTCTATTCAACTGGATGTGTGCTTGATCGCGATGACTACAGGCCAAGCACAGTGGAATGAGGTTGACATTTCAATTGCCTTGAATCCAAACAATATTGAGGCTATCCCTATCTTATTGGAAGAACTTTCGGCAAAGGTTCACAACTTAAATGCAGGTATAGATGAGGACCGCAAACAGCTACTGCGCAGCTGTCGCTCCCTTGTTCTGGCGTTAGAGACTCCCCAAGAAACCATGATAAGACATTGCCGGGCGGAGGTGAGCGTTCTATAAACCTATATTTGCTTTTTGGGGCTAATTTAAGTCAAAGACGGGCGCAATGGCGGCTCTGAATTTCGGGGTTGATTGCGGACTATGGTTGTTAATGGCCAAGAGCCGCGATCAGCCGCAGAAGGTCAATGGCCTAGCCAAGACCCTTGGTGTTGATCCTACTCTGCTATGTATGTATTAGTAATGTCATGGTAGTGAATTCCGATGTATTGACGGAAGGTCAGGCCGTCTAATGCGTCATCTAGCCGCCATGGGCTATATTACAGAGACGGGCGAAGATGAGTATAGGCCAACAAACTACTCTCAAGCAATGAGCATTCCGGAAATAGCTAATGGCTACCTTGCAATGTGGGTTTAATCGCATACAGTATTTCTCTTCTATCCGAAGTTGAAATCAATTGCTTATATATAATGGCTTGATTAGGCTCTCCTGTACAAGTGCTGCGGCGATGAGATTTCATGAGTACTCCCGCAAACGCGGATAGAGAAACCCTGTCGATACTGCAGATACATCTTTAATGTGGGAATTAATACACGGGCATAACACTTTTACTACCCAGGTATAGCTTTTATCTAAGTATAACTTTTATTAACTTTAATTTACTTAATACTTTCTTAGCTTATAAGTATTTTTTTATAAAAGTAATATAATAATTTTATTTAATAAAGCTTAAAATTACCTTAAAATTAATTAATTATTAATTAATATTTAATTAATTCGCTTTATAATTAAATAAAATTATATATATAATATTAATATTATATAAGCATAAAATCTAAAATAATATTAGGTTATATTAGGCTAAAAATAATAAAAAACTAAAAAAGTAAATTATTTATATATTATAACACGTTAAATATACTAGTATAATTAGTATTATATTATAGCCTATTAATTATAGCTATTTTATAATAGCCTTAGCTATTATTATATAATTAAACCTTATATATTATTATAATTTTATAGCTATAACTTATACTAAGTTACGCTAAAAACCTAAAATACTTATATATATAATATATTTATAAGGTTTACCCTCTCTTATATTTTAAGTTAATTTTATATCTAAGTTATTCTTTTATTATTAAGACCCTACTATAACTATATATTAGTATTAGTAAAATATCTATTATTAGTAAATACTAAGATTAATAGTACTAACACAACTAATCGTGAGTTACTGCCCTTATATATATATATCTCCTATAAGCACTTACTAATATCCACTATAACTATTTATAAACTATTATATATAAAGTATATATAATAATAAGATAACTAAGTATAATAAAAAGCCTAATATAAGTAAGTTACTTATTATAACCTTTAAGGGTTAAAGCTAATAAGGCTTAATAGGTAATATAATTATTAATAAATTAAAAGCTTTTTATAATAAAA